ACATCAAATGGCTTGGGGTATGCACGTAATTTCACATCAAAATGGAGAGCTGTTTTGCAGAGACTATTTTTGTGTGTTATCCTTTTCCCGGTTCATTCTTTCGCATCTGCTTCATAGCTTTGTCGCTGGTGATCGTAGCTTCGAGATGGTTGAATTTTTGACCATTGTACGTGGAGAATGAGTGCAAAGTGCACAACTTGCGTAACTCCCCTGAACCGTAAGTCTCAATCAGAAATGGGCGGTTTAAATATTTTATGCGAACTTTATCGCATGATCCGAAACAGCAGTAGAGCAAAAACCGAAACGCTACACTGACTTGAGTCAAATGCAACCTGTCTTGGCGGAATATGCTTGCCTTGTCCTTGTACTGCATTAATGCAAACGGACCTAATGATTTTTTGTGGATGTAATGCAGCCGATGGTTGAATACCGTCATTTTCGTAACTGTGTGTCACTTCGTCAACGAATCGTTAGAAATTGCAGGATTACTTCACAGCCAGTTGTCATATCTGACGGATGCTTCACTCTCTGTGCGTTGCAGTTTGCCGTACCGGGTTCCATCTTTGATTAGGTATATGGAAAGCTTCGTTTGAATATTTTAAATAGGTTGTACATGATTTCTGTTTTAATTATTATTAACAGTCGCATGCCAGAGATATGCGTTATTTGTGCTGATACAATTTCGGCTGAATATCGCATGCACGGAGTGTGCAAAAACTCACTCGATACCAAATCGGTGCTGCTTTAACACAATTTCCGGCAGCGAAACTTTTGAAACCTGAATTTCGATTTTTCAACTTTTTTTAGTGTTTTGCTTTAATAATGACTTTCCGATTAGTTTCTATTGGAGTGCTATTTCCTGTTCCGGTTGGCGGGGCCGTACTATTGAACTTGACCTTTATGCTGAATGGGTTTATTTTTTATGTTGTGAATCTTGCTGATCTTCTGCATCACCGTGATAGAATTTTAGCAGTATGCGGATGAAACATTTTGCTTCCCATGGTTTTGACGAACATGCAGCAGGAGCGGAAAACCACTAGCTTAACGATTTGAAATTCAACAAATGTTTCCATAAACACGTCATGCTCTTCATTGCTTCAGATTCTCTTCATTCTCCTGTTAGTCGATAGTGTGACTGTTAAAGTATAAGAATACCGTGAAAACAATCTTTCAGCTTGGATCTGGTTATGAATGAAGCAGAGGAACTTTTTCTCACTTCTAACCAGATGTAGTATTTTATGCAGAAATCGACACCGCCCTTCAGAGATACTGCACAGATGTGGTAATAGTGCAAGAAAGACCTATAACCAGCTGTTGCAAG